AAACAAATTTGTTTAGCTAGTCTGAGGTCAAAATGGCTCTTTGGATTATAAAGTTTGCAGATTTCTTTATTAGACCATAACAGACAGAGAAAATCTTTATTAAAAAGGAAAGCGGTTTTGTTTTGTTCCACAAAGTTTCATCCTTCTCTGACCCGGTCAGCCTCATTACATTTAGTTTTCTATTGACGGCTGAAAGTGGCACTTTATTGCTTGGTTTTATACCATACTATTTAACTGTGGGCAGTGTTACACTACTACAGTTTTCCATGTTCAACTCATTTTCCATGGCAGGGGAAACATTCCTGAGCAGTCAGACCTGCCAAGTTAATGGCTCTAAAGGCACCGAGTCAAACCATAATCTTTCGTGTAGCAATCTGTCAGCTACTGCTGCTGATGATTGACATCTTGCTCGGTTTCTGGGACTAACATTAATAAACATGCAGGTTCAGTAAAGATGGCCGCTGCAACTCTGGAGCGGAGCGGCATAATGTTTGTTCGTTGCTTTAAGGAAAAGTTTATCCCTTGCCAGCGAGAGTAAATTGGTTTGGCCCTGGGAGTAATTCCAACCCTTCTTATACACAGACTGACTGATTATTAGTCTGGCTGGTTGGGCTAATACACTGAAACTACATAATTGCATGTTTGCTTGAGTTTTACATTTTGTTGTTGAGAGCTTCAGGTGAAAATAAAACCGCTCCACCAGACTGGCAGGTTTTCTCCTAAAGTCAGGGAGCTTCACTTGCTTTGTTTTGATAATTGCATGAAAAAAACAATCCTGCCTTTAATGCTGTTCGACCATAAGGTCGGTAAAAAGACAAAACCTGGAGAACAGATGGGCTTAAAGAGCCCAAAGCAAGGAGGAGATTGTGGGGGTCATTTTGGCCCCAAAGGGTCTCTGAAAGGATCTTTACGGTTATTCTACCTCTGGTGGTGGTCTCACTATGATGGCCTTTTATCACTGCTTTCACTGCATTTTGAAGGAAAAAATGAAATGGCTGTAAACAGTCTCTCCAGAGAGCAACAAGGAAACAAAAGGAATACCGGCTTGCATTGTGTGGGTGATGACATCGTTTATCTGAGGAAAAGCTGGTTGATGTTAGTCAGGGGCTTTTAAAGACGACCACTGAGTCTCCTTCACCGCCTGAAAAAAGCTCAGATAATTCTTCTTCAGGATCCAAAAAAATCTCACATGTTTTTGTGCTTTTTGGGGGTAAGTTTTCTTAAAGAAAAATAGCAATGAGGCAAAACATTATGACCACTTAATAGTTACTGCTTGTGAAAGCAGACATCAGACAGTATTTAGACGTTAGTTTTGAGGCTTAATCTGGTCAGTCTATCAGTCTTGCTTTAGACCAAAAATAATTGTTGAAAATTGTGTTTGGTCAGTTTGATTTTTTCCCACTTTAGTCCAATAAAAGATGTTGAAAATATGTTGCAAAACCAGTTTTCAACGTCTTTTCAACTATCTGATAATTACGGCTTTTCAACTTTCACTTGGGTCTTTCTTTTTTTCAAACATTATCTTTATTGGTTTTTCAACAATTTTTCAATAATAGTCAGGACATTAGTGTGCTCTCACATCGAAGGAAAAGTCCAGGGTAG